TTCCTTACTGCACGTAAAGCACCCAGACCCCCAAATTGCTATTTTATGTTTTGAATGTTAATTCCAGAAGGGACTTCAAGACTGTCCCGGACCAGCTTGTCTTAAGCTATACTGTGCCTATGGATTCCCTCAGGGATCTTGTTAAAAACCAAATTCTGATTCAGTGGGTCTGGCATAGGAGTGACAATTCCGCATTTCTATCAGATGTCCAAATAATACTAGACTACTGGTCCATGAGCCACACTTTAAACAGCAAGAACAAAATCCATAATGTAATGGTGGTGGTTTGGGGTTGGGGAAGAGAAAGGACCACTTAAAATGCAGTCTGATGACCAGCAGTAATGGCATTGCTTGGGCATTTGTTGGAAATCTGGGACTGCTTCAGATTGACTGAACCAGCCTGCTTTTTAACAAGATCCCAGGTGCTTGGTTTGCCAGTGACAGTTTGAGAAGCTCTGCTCTAGGACTGCTCCAGTCCTGCCTTAGGGAGGGCTGTATATCAGCCATCCAAAAGCTCTGGCGTCACAGGTGTGAGATTTAGTAATGCAACAAACAAACAAAAAGCTTCCTGTCTTTAGGAAGGAGCATTAGATGGGATGCGACATTGATGTGTTATATAGCTATTTAATTGACCCCTGATTGGAATACATGCTCACGAGACAGTCAAACAATGAGGAAGTATAAAAAATGAAAAAGTCTTCTAGCACCAATCCTGATCTCTGAGGAAATCACTATAAGGAATCTACGAAAAGTTGGGGGAAGGTTTCCCAAAACTTTTTCCAAGGTTAAAAAAATGGAATCAAAAAAGGGAACAATTAAAAAGAAAAATTTTGGCCCTTTAAGAACAAGAAGTGGAAAACTTTATCTTCAGAGACTGAGAGGGAACTTGAGAAAGAGACCAGGCCCCTCATTGGCTATCCACCCCACTACCCTCACAGATCTGATCGACCGAGCCTTCAGCAGATTCCGTCACAGAGAGGTGGTCCATCTGTCCAGGTTGAGGAATGGGCTGAACGTGTTGGAGCTGTGGCATGGTGTCACATATGCATTTAAGGACCTGTCCCTGTCCTGCACAGCACAGTTCCTGCAGTACTTCCTGGAGAAGAGGGAGAAGCACGTCACTGTGGTTGTAGGTGTGTTTTGGGGCACGAACCCGGAATACCTGAGTGCTGTGACTGTAGGGTGTCCACCTATGGGATGCTGTTCACAGAGCCACTCAGGGACTATGGTACTGGTTCTTCCAGAGCAAGGTTCCTAACCTTTTCTGGTGCCATAGACCCCTTTGCCAGGCTGATGGAGGCTATGGAACTTTCTCAGAGTAACGTTTGAAGTGCACAAAATGCTTAAGATGATGTGGTTCACAAGTTCACTCATGTCCTGAATTTTATCCGTGGATCCAGGGACCCTATGTGGAGTGCTAGGTTCATACCCTCCAAGTATTTGAAGTAGTTGTTGCTATATTTGACAACAGTGCTTTGGGGACCCTTTCTTTCCTTGTTCATTCCCTTTGTTCTAAAGGGGGAGGGTTATCCTTTCTTCCCGTCCAGGAACGTCTGGGGACACAGGAAGTGCTGCCATTGAGAGTGTTCAAGGGACAAAGAACGTGGACATTATCGTTCTGCTGCCCAAAGGTCACTGCACAAAGATTCAGGAGCTCCAGATGACAACGGTGCTGAAGGAGAACGTACATGTGTTTGGAGGTGTGTGCTGAGGCAGAGGCTCTAGGGACAGTGCGGCCCTGCCTTACTTGGGTTTGCTTTGGGAGATGGGCTGGAACAAAACTGCACAATTGGGTAACTGTCTTCCTTTCATCAGTCATATTTGAGGTTGGTGTATATGCCTTGGCTCAGCTCTGGGCAGGGTTCTGGCTACACAGTAAACTATTGGAGGTGACAGATGCATAAACTGATACCAACAGTACAACATACTAAGTACAGATTGAAAACCATATCCAAAAAATGCCACCTCCATGCATGTCCAACCTGCAAGTGTCATGTATGTCAGTAGCCATGCAGAGTCATAACCTGAGCCAAATGACTTGGGTTTTGTTCCAAGACTCTGAAGTTTAGAGGACACCAACATGTTAAGTAATTATTTTAAGAGAATGTGTTGCCAGGTGCGGTGACTCACGCCTGTAATTCCAGCACTTTGAGAAGTCAAGGTGGGTGGATCGCTTCGGCCCAGGAGTTTGAGACCAGCCTGGGCAACATGGCAAAACCTTGCCTCTATAAAAAATACAAAAATTAGCCAGGCTTGACAGTGTGCACGTATAGTCCCAGCTACTCCAAAGGCTGAGATGGGAGGATCGCTTAAGCCCAGAAGGCTGCAGTGACTCAGGATCACGCCATAGCATTGCAGCCTGGGCAACAGAGTGAGACCCTGTCAAAAAAAAAAAGAGAATGTGTCATTATATGTTGACGGTTCCTGCTGTTCTTTACAGTATGGGAACGACTAAGCCATGCACTAGTTATCTGGTCTAAATATTTAAAATAGGGACCAGTGGTACCCACCACTGGTTATACTCCTACCTGAGTCACATCATGAGAATCACAGCATATTGTGCTTGGAGAAAGGCAAAAGCCATCTTTTTTAATATCAGGCCGTCTATTCCTAATGGATTTAATCATTATAGGGATTGAGAGTGGAGAAAGATGGGGCGAGTGTGGGTGGAGCTGTACATGTTTATTTTTACCTCTCACACCCTGCTGGACCCCAGGTAGCTGTAAGGTGGGGACTTGGATTAAGTTTTGGCCTGGGTGGGCTGTGGCCTCGGGCACGCTTTCCAGGAGGCCTAGCTTAGTTTGGTCACTCACCTGACAGAACAGCAAGTGTGATGGCAGAGAATGTTCCTTCTACAACTGTCCCGGCTTCTTATGATCATCCTGTAGAGGTTATTTTTGTATAACATCAACTGTGACAAGGAGCAAAAGCACAGTGAAAGCAAACTTATCCAAAGGAATAGCATAATATCCTTTGTCAATTTGTTCAAGAGCAAGCAAACTGCCCCTCTGCTCTGTTCTTTAGCAAGTACATACACTTGCCAGTGAAAAGTCCATGCTAATGCAGGTGTTGACATCGTCTTACACATTTGCCTTGCTAATTGCTCATATTTGGCTGCATTTTCCCGCAGTTGTTGCAAGACTTCAATGCACAAGATTCAGGCTCTTGAGGGTCCTTGTTATACCCCAAGCACCAAAATTGCTGGTTATGGATCTAGGACTATTTTTTCCCAGAATCAAAGCAGAGAATAGCATTTTGTTCCTCTGTCCTGCCTCCTCCTCCCTTTTTTTCTTTTTTGTATGCAGACCTAAGGGTGTGACTGAAAGCTCCATTCCTGACTTGTGGATTGGAGAACAGTGCTCGAGTGTAAAGTACTGGTGGGAGTGCGGAATCTGATGAATGTATTAAGTCATTCAATCTGGACCTGAAGGGGGTGTTCTGTTGTGTACATGTTGAAGAAAATCAGAAACTAAGGCAGCAGGCTTCACAGAAATCAGTTTTGTTTATAAACGGCACTATTCAGATGCTTTCTTTCCTTTCTAGAGCTTTCTGGTTTGGTTTTAAGGAGGATGTGTGTTAGTTCAGGATGTAACAGCAAATATGTATTTTTCCGTAGACTGGTAAGCTTAGCAAGTAGGGATGGACCACTTAGATTATTGCGTGTGGGCAGTTGGTTTATAAAGTCATTGATTTCCATGTACATTGTATACTTGGTTCTTCTTAAGCACAGAATAATCAGCAGGTGCTAGGTATTTATTAATTATATTATTTGGGATGCTTTTGGCTAGAAGTAGCAAAAAATTCAACTCAGACCAGCTTAAACAAGAATATTTTCCAGCTTCCATAACTGGAAGGCCAGAGGTGGAGTGGGCTCCCAGTTGCTTCATTCAGTGACTCACACTGCTCTCAGAAACTCAGGTCCTTCCCATTCTCTGCTCTGCCGTCCTCAGTCCTAAGGCTCTTGTGGTCATATGGTGTTTCCTCGAGGTAACCAGGTCTCTCCCTTCCTGTTGCTCTTTTCTAAAAGCAGTGAATCTTTTCTTAGAACCCAGCAAACACGTCTTTGTGGTTCACTGACCTGAATTTATTCACATGCTCATTGTGGAGCCAACCCTGACCCCATGAGAATACCAGGCACTGATTGGCTTGGTCCTGGCAAAGGAATGGAATCACTATGACTGGCCCTGGCCATTCTGGATACACACGGGGATCTAGAGTCAGTCCCCCAGCTCCATTGCTGCTACACAGTGTTGAAGGGCAGAATGGTTAGCACCTTTAATGCCTTCTCTGGCACATTTCCCAGTAAAGTTCACCCCTCTCCCTTCCAAGTGTAGATTCAATGGAGACGTACTCGGGTATCAGATAAGAAATCAATATTGGCTTGATTGCTCATTGAGCTAGATGGGGGATATAACTTGTATTAGTGGACAATTCACCATAAATTTATCCAGTAATTCACTCATAAATTACGCTGATGTACACACCCAGCTTCATGGAGGGGAAGTTCTGTCCATGTAATCTTACCTGCCATATAGTAGCAGAGAGCAGAACAGCTACCCTGTGACCTAATGAGGGCAGAGGACAGACCACGGGGGAATGTTGGCTGTTTCCACCCTGGGCCCTGGTAGAGGACTGTGGAGGAAAGGCTGTGACTCTCATCATTTTCCAGTCAGCCACACAGTTCCTCGTCTGCGGAAGAGTGGGGGAAGTGGGCAGGGATTACAAAGAGAAATTTTCCCAGGATCCCAGAAGGTTGACATTTGCTATCTTACTTTAGATAATGGTAGAAACATTGGAACTGGTTCTGGCTCCCCTTTCTGTTCTAAGCTAGGGCAGATATTTAGGAACACAAGCATCTGAGGCATGGTTTCTGTCCTCGAGGAGCTTAATATTGAGTCTAGAAAGTGAGGCCAAGCTACATGAAAGTAAAGAAACCTAGGCTACGCGAAGGTCCCAGGAGGATGGGCTCAGCCTGGGAGGGCTGTCGCAGGCGGGTGCTGACCTCCTGGGGATTCTACATGCTCCTGACGGCTGCCCTCTCCTCTCGCCCTGACAGTGGAGGGAAACAGCGATGAGCTCGATGAGCCGATCAAGACTGTGTTTGCCGACGTGGCTTTTGTCAAGAAGCACAATCTGATGAGCCTGAATTCGATCAACTGGTCCCGGGTCCTGGTGCAGATGGCCCACCACTTCTTTGCTTACTTCCAGTGTACGCCATCCTTGGACACGCATCCCCTACCCCTGGTGGAGGTGGTTGTGCCAACAGGGGCTGCCGGTAACCTTGCAGGTAAGGAGTCCCTGGGGCACAAATGGGCTTTCCAGAAAAATACCTGCGGCCCCAGTCCTTCTAGCTGCCTTTTGGCTGCAACTGTGAGGAGAAAGAAGGTGGAGTCCCAGTTCTGAAGGTGATGAGAAACCCCACAGAAGAAGCTCCCAGAAGATTTCCCCTGTCATTGCCTGGGGCAGCATCCTGGGCTCCTGCTGCCAGCAGCAGAGGGTGATGGCTTAACCCTGCATGCTCCTGCAGCCTCACCTGATGTGCTCGCCGGCTCAGCAGAGTGTGGAGAGGCAAGGTCAAGGGTTAGCCGCTGTGCCTGGCTGGCAGTGCCGTCAATCAGAAATGTGGACTTTGCTCCCAACCCTGGCCAGCTACCCAATGTGAGGGCAAGCGGCTTGACTGGCACGTGTGTTCCCCTTCCTGAATGCACTACCCTGACCCCATGTGATGTGGAAAGAGTTCTGGACTTGGGGTTCTGGCCCCAGTTCTGTCCTTTACTAGCTGAGAGGCTGTGGAGCAGTCCTTTAGACTCAACCTTTGAGCTATAAAATGAGATTGTATCACTCATCATATCTCCCAGGACTGCCTCAATGAACGAATAAGATTCCTGTGTACATGCAGACTTTGTAAGGGCAAAGTGCCGTACAGCTGTGTAGCATTAAAATCATTTTATCTAATCACTAATATTTATCAAGCACTTAGTATGCAACTGGCACTGTTCTAAATGCTTTTCACATATGAACTCATTTATCCACCTGTGGAGAAGACACTCTCCATTTTTTAATGAGGAAGCAAAGGCACAGAGAAAGGAGTCATGCCCTGGTTACACAGCTGGGCCAGGAGTGCGACCCAGGCAGTCTGGCTGCAGAGCTGGCGAGGCTAGGGGAATTACTGTTCCTGATAGTTCCAGCAATGGCATTGGTTCTGATGAACACCAAGGATGGTCTAGCTGAGAGCACAGAAGCATCTGAGTGGTTAGGAAGCCACTGGGGGAGGTGTACAGATGTGGCCCAGGTGTTGGTTGGGTGGGGCTTCCTGACTTCTGCCACTGAAAGAAGGGTGGAGAGAACAGCGGGCTGGCAGGCAAGGAGGGAATAGCTTCTTTGCCACTCATGGGGTAAAGCCCACCATGCTCCCCATTCCCATCACCCTCCAGTTAGTGATGCACCGAGTTGTGCAGCCAGTGGCCCTCTGCAGCCCAGAGCCTACCACAGTGCCCGATACAAAATAAACACGTGATCAACATTTCCTGAGGGCGTTCCTATCCATCTTTGCTCTGTCAGGAACCAACTCTTTGGCTTTAAGACCCTGGACCTTCCTGAGCCTCCATTTCTCCCCTGTCAGGCAAGGATATCATGATGTTCTCATGAGGACCAGCTGAAATAAGAAAGAGAAAGTTGAGATCAGTAGTTCAAGACCAGCCTGGCCAACATGGTGAAACCCCATCTCTACTAAAAATACAAAAATTAGCCAGGTGTGATGATGCATGCCTGTAATCCCAGTCACTTGGGAGGTGGAGGCAGGAGAACCGTTTGAACCTGGGAGGTGGAGGTTGCAAGTGAGCTGAAATTGTGCCATTGCACTCCAGCCTGGGCAACAGAGAGAGACTCAGTCTCAAAAAAAAAAGAATGAGAAAGCGTTTTGCCAGGTTAACAGTGATGTTGGGTGGTGTGGTTGTCCCTAACTCCCCTTAGCTACTCACCAGAGATAAACTGCTCATGAAAGCACCATATGTAAAACCTTCCTAAACGATGTCACATGTTCGGGCTCTACACCTCTTAGGGGGAGGAATTCCTTGCTTGTTCCATGCAAACAAGAACTGCTGTTGGGGTGGACTGAGGATGCTGCTCTGGCCTCCCCTGGTGCCTGTGCAGGGAGAGTAGTCTGGGAGGCTGAGTCGAGGGAGGGCATGTGCTCAGGACTTAGACATATTTTGAATCCTGACTCTGACACTTAGGCTTTGGACAGGTCACTTTGACCTCTTGGAACTTTCATTTCCTCTTCCAAAAATTGGTGTTTTACAGTAGTCAGCCATCTATGAAATACTTTGGCCCCTTGCAGGGACTGAGACATAGAACAGCCTCAGGGCATGGTGATGTGCTCCTAGTCATCCTCACGCTCGCTCTCCCTGTGTGTGTGTGTCTGAAACAGGTTTATTGCTAAATGATTCACATACCATTCACACATTTTAAGTGTACGATTCAGTGGTTTTTAGTATAATATATTCACAGACTTACGCAACTATCACCATAACCAATTTTGGAATGTTTATGTCACCCTAAAAAGAAACCCTGTACCCATTAGCAGTCACTCCTCACTTTTCCTTAGACCACCTCCTTCACCAGCCCTTGGCAGCCATGAATTTATTTTGTTTCTCTATATAGATTTTCCTATTCTAGACATTTTCTATAAAAGGAATCATACAGTGTGTGCTCTTTTGTGCCTGGCTTCTTTCCCCTAGCATAATGTTTTCAAGGTTCATCCGTGTTGTATCATGTATCAGTACTTTTTCAATTGTATGTATATACCATACAGCGGTATATTTTGTTTATGAGTTTATCAGCTGATAGATATTTGGATTGTTTTAACAGCTATTATGAATAATGCTGCAGTGAACGTTTGTGTATAAGTTTTCATGTGACCATATATTTTATTTCTTTTGTATATATAACTAGGAGTGGAATTTCTGTTATATGATAACTCTATGTTTAATATTTTAAGGAACTGACAGACTTCAGTTTTCCAAAGTGGCTGCACCATTTTGTGCCACCACCAGCAATGTAGGAATTTTCCAATTTCTCCACATCCTCACCAACACTTTTTATTATCTTTTTGATTCTAACCATCCTAGAGGGTGTGAAGTAATATCTCATGGTTTTTCTTTGTATTTCCTTCATGACTAATGATGTTGAACATCTTTTCCTGTGCTCATTGGCCATCTGTATGTCTTCTTTGAAGGAATGCCTGTTCTTTTGCCCATTTTATTATTATTATTATACTTTAAGTTCTAGGGTACATGTGCACAATGTGCAGGTTTGTTACATATGTATACATGTGCCATGTTGGTGTGCTGCACCCATTAACTTGTCATTTATATTAGGTATATCTCCTAATGCTATCCCTCCCCTTTCCCCCCTCCCCACAATAGGCCCCGGTGTGTGATGTTCCCCTTTCTGTGTCCAAGTGATCTCATTGTTCAGTGCCCACCTATGAGTGAGAACAAGCAGTGTTTGGTTTTCTGTTCTTGCGATAGTTTGCTGAGAATGATGGTTTCCAGCTGCCATCCATGTCCCTACAAAGGACACGAACTCATCCTTTTTTATGGCCGCATAGTATTCCATGGTGTATATGTGCCACATTTTCTTAATCCAGTCTGGCACTGATGGACATTTGCTTTTGCCCATTTTTTAATTCAGTTATTTGTATTTTTGTTGTTGAATTGCAACAGTTCTTTGTATATTCTGGATACAATCCCTTATCAGATACATGAATTGCATTTTTTCCCCGTTCTGTGAGTTGCCTTTTCATTTTCTTGATGGTGTCCTTTTTAAAGCAGAAAAGCTTCAAAAAGCACAAAAGTTTCTTAACTTTGATGAAGCCCAATTTACTTTTTTCTTTTGTTTCTAAAAAGCCATTGTTCTCTTCCTCTCTTGTCTTAAGCTGGGTACATTGCTCAGAAGATAGGCCTGCCCATCCGTCTGGTCGTGGCAGTGAACCGCAATGACATCATCCACAGGACTGTCCAGCAGGGAGACTTCTCTCTGTCTGAGGCTGTTAAATCAACCTTGGCATCAGCTATGGACATTCAGGTAGGCCTGGGGGAGGTGTGCAGATCTGGCCCAGGTGTTGGTTGGGTGGGGCTGGATGGGGCTGAGATCAGTGTGGACCTGAAAGTGACTTTCTGCCCAGGTGCCCTACAACATGGAGAGGGTATTCTGGCTACTCTCTGGCTGTGACAGCCAGGTGACAAGAGCCCTCATGGAGCAGTTTGAAAGGACCCAAAGTGTGAATCTGCCCAAGGAACTGCACAGCAAGGTCAGTCACTGCCCACACACCACAGAGAAAGGAAAGGGTACAGCCACATAGCAGACTTGGGGTTTGGAAGTCTAGTCAAGGGAAGAGGACACCTGTTTCTTGAGTACCTGCTATGAGCCCGTCACTTTTACTGCCGCTTTACGTGGAACAATTTATTGAATGAGGAGAGGTAATAGAGAACATGGTTTAGAGTCGAATGGGCTCAATCCCAAGTGAGCGCTGAGATGCTGGGCCAGTTTCCTAAACTCTGTGCCTCAGTTCCTTCATCTATAAAATGGCAATAGTAAGAATGCCTACCTCATAGAGTTGTTGTGAGATTTAAGTCAAATAATATATGTGAAGCACTTTGCATACTTCCTGGTAATATATGGCTTAATATATTAACTTACTTTTACTTATTATTGTTGTTAATTTCCAATAATACTGTCAACCAGAAGCCATTTTGCCCATCCAGTATGAACAGAGACCATTGTTTCCGTTGAGCTCTTCCTTTCTTCCTTTTCCTTCCTCTCTCTTTCCTCCCTCCCTCTCCTTCGTCCCTCTCTCACCTTCCTCCCTCCCTCTCTCCTCCCTCCTTTCCTTCTTTCTTTCTTTTTTCTTTCCCTCCCTCCTTCCCTTTCTCTGTCTTATTTTTCTTGGAAAAGGAGAAGTTTTATTCCCTTGGAATGGTAGGAATCTAATTGGGAAGGATTGTTTTTATTTTAATGCAACGTGGTGATGGTACTTATTCTGTGTTTAAAAAAAAAAAGGATTTCTGAAGCTGCCTTTAATTTTCTCTACCACATTCCCACTGAGTGGCCATCCAGACTGTGCATACCTCCAGTGACCAGACCCTCACTACCTCACACCAGCTCTCACCATTACAAAAGTCTTTACGTTGAGCTAGAATCTGCTCCTTCTAGCTTACACAGTCTGATTCTACATCTGAGTGTTTCCAGTATTTAGAGAATCCTCATTTACCAGGTTAGTCTTCCCACTTCCTTTAGTGGTCCCTTGCATGACATAATTTTGCATGGTCAATATCCACCTTAAAGTGTTGTTTTCCAAGTTGGATGCAGTTCTCTAGGCTGAGCCATACCAATGCAGACTGGAGTGGAATTTCGGCCTTCTGGAATCTGTACTTCTTTTGATGTACCCAAAGATCAATTTATTTGGTTAATGGTTTGACATTCACATTCCTTCTCCTCATATAAATGAGGTGCTCCATGAAGACAGGCACCATACCCCCCACTCCTTCATTCTCTCTCTGGCTATACACAGAGGAAACACTTCACTTGCTGCAATGGCATTCATATTATATATCTACTGTGAGCCAGGAACTGTGCTGGGTGCTAGAAACACAAAGACAAGTAAAATACATTCATTGCCGCCTGGGAACCCTCATTCACAGCAGGTGGCTGTAGGAAAATCTGGAGGCTGAGGCAGGTGGATCGTTTGAGGTGAGGAGTTTGAGACCAGCTTTGCCAGCACGGTGAAACTCCCTCTCTACTAAAAAAAAAAAAAAAACAAAAATTAGCTGGCCATGGTGGCACATGCCTGTAAATCCCAGCTACTTGGGAGGCTGAGACAGGAGAACTGCTTGAACTCAGGAGGTGGAGGTTGTGGTGAGCCAAGATCGTGTCACAGTACTCCAGCCTGGGTAGACAGAGACTCTGTCTCAAAAAAAGAAAAGAAAAAGAGAAAATCTATGATACTCTATGATCCCTATTGCAGTCAAGTATATGCAGGGTGTTTGGTGTATTATAAGCATGCAATACATTTTCAGAAGATGATCAAATAAACCAAACACACTGAGGGAGCACAGACAAGGCAGTCTTCCTCTGTCCGAAGGAAGTGGGGAGGGCTTCCTGAAGGAGGTGCTCTGTGAGCTGAATAGCAACTGATAGGAAGGAGGTGTGCCAACAACCAAGCTGCCTGGAGCCTTCTGGCTGTGGCAAGTTGTTGAACAAATCTTGATTTGTTGATTTGCTGATTAGGAGCCAAATCCCAACTAAATGGATTGACATAAAACTCAAATGTATCCTTCCTCCAAGTTGAGTGAGTCAGCTCAAAACTGGGAGGCCGGATTTTTACTGTGAGCCACGTCTGAGCCATTCGGTCTGAATGTCCCATTGGATCCCTGGGGTTTGTGTGGGTCTGTGGTGGAGAGTGGGGTTTTGTCATCTTTCCCTGCTTTCCCAACATACCTCATCTTTCTGACCTGGGACCCTTCAGCTTTCAGAGGTGGTGACATCCGAGTCAGTGTCTGATGAAGCCATCACCCAGACCATGGGCCGCTGCTGGGATGAGAACCAGTACTTGCTGTGCCCCCACTCGGCGGTGGCCGTGAACTACCATTACCAGCAGATGGACAGGCAGCAGCCCAGGTACAGGCCGTGGGGGCTTGGGCCACTGAGGGACCATTTGAATTTCAGGGGCCCTCTTCTTCTCCAAGCGGTGGGAGAGACAGGACTACGAACAAATGGCTGTAATGGAGTGTGATAGCTGCTGTGTGGAACTGTGCCTTGGAAACTGTGGGGCCCAGAAGAGGGAACGTGACAGGTATCCTAAGGACAGTCAGGGGCAGAGGAGGTGGCTGAGCTGGCCTCCAACCAGGAGGAGCAGTTTGCCAGGTAGCATCATTGTAGCGATAAGTTTGAGGTACCAATTGTCTGTCTGTGTCTCTGTCTTCCATACCCCACCCTATCCCTAAACTTCCCCTGTTTCTTCTCCTTCCTCCTCCACCTTCTCCTTTCCCATCCCTCTATTCTCTCACTGTCCTCCTGCTGCCACCTGCCCCCATCCCCAGCAGCACTCCCCGGTGCTGCCTTGCCCCTGCCTCTGCAGCCAAGTTCCCGGAAGCTGTCCTGGCTGCTGGCCTGACCCCTGAGACTCCTGCAGAGATCGTAGCCCTGGAGCACAAGGAGACACGCTGCACCCCGATGCGGAGAGGTGACAACTGGACCCTGATGCTTCAGGACACCATTGAGGACCTTAGCCGACGGTGGAGGGGTCATGCCCTCAACGCCTCCCAGTAGCCTGGCTGGAGGTGGCTTGCTTTAGGCTTCAGATCCCAGGGAGGTGCACCCTCTGAGCTGCCTTGCGACCCTCCCCATTAAGCATAGGTTAGGAGGTTCCCAGGAGGCTGCTCAGCTGGGTCTGGAGCCAGCTGGCTTTGCTCCGTTCCCTGGCTACTCTGTGCCTGGTCACCAGGGAGGCTGAGTGAGGGGCTGTGAACAGTTGCCAGAAGCCCCCCCTCCCTCCCTGGCCCACGCGGCAGTGTCTGAGCTGTAGTGAAAGTTTCAGGGCCTGCAGAAGAAGAGCCTTGGGCACAGGATTGACCATGGCTCCAGGGGTTTAGGACCCCAGACCTGTGAAGGTGGGGGCAGCTCACCACCTTCATGCAGCCTTTATATGTTCTCTGAGCCTTAGCTGATTTGGCCCCCAAAACACATCCAAAGGTTCTAGCCCGCCTTGTCAGAGACTTCCACCCTGTTCACATGTTGGCAATTCCTGGAATAAAATGCTTGTTCTGTGTGATGGAGACGGCACATCCTGTGGGCAGGTCCCTTCCTAGAAGGGCTGCAGGACTGTGGGCAGCCCTGGGGGCCGCTGAGTGGTGGGCTGAGGTGTGTGCGGCATCCCGCTGCTGCCCTGCATTGGCCTAGGCTTGAGGCGCCATGGCCCTGGTGGTGCGGGCATCCACAGAGGTTGAGGTGGGGCTCACCAGAAGGAGACCCTGTGGGAAAGCATTGGCATCAATGTGCAAACCGAGTCAAGGCCCTGTTGCTCATACATCACTTGGGATTGAGCCCATTTGACTCAGGTTGCAATCCATTTTATCAGGTTCCAATCCTGTGTGGGTTGAGGAGAGTTTTAGACAAATACATGAACGGCAACAGAAGCCCCATGCCTTGGACGCTGGGGGCCCCTAGGAGGGGAGGGGAGGCAGGCGTTGGATGGAGGAATATGTTGCCAGTAGAGGACGCTGTTGCCGCCACCCTGGGGGCTGCTGTGAAATGACCTAGTGGGCATCTGTCCTCCAGAGCCCCCTTCCCCTGCCTGCCTGAGGTCTGAAGGCGCTGCTCACCAGGTGCGGTCCCTGCCTGGGATTCCCCATCAGAACATCCCAGCCCGTATCGCCGTGGGACTAAAGGGAAAGGCCTGTAGTGCCCTCTGCTGGAAGACTGGACATCGAGGCACTGCAATCAGTACCCAAAGGGGAGGACAGGGATGCTGGACCCCAGGAAGACAGAAGGAGTGTTCTTAAAGGAGTGACAGTGACTCCTTACCAGCCACGACACTTGGCAGTTTCTGAGACACTTTAACATCCACAGCAGCAGACACTGATGCAGCCCCTGGGGCCACTTACCCATTAGATATGATAGGCCCACTGCTTAGGGGCCACCATTCATTAGAGGCCCATGAAAATGTCTTCATTTCTTTTAAAACCGAAAGAAAATAGTATAATCCAGCTGGGATTTTATTCATCTTTCTTCTAACACAGTTGTACAATAGAATTTTAAGTATTTTTTATAGAGGAAGACACCCATGAAAGCAAAAGTGCCTAATACCGACAAAAGTTACTATGCAGCCGTGATAGCACCTACTGTGTGGCAGGTGACATTTTACAAAAATTAGCCTATTTAATCCTGACAGCAGCGTGTGAAGCAAGTGCTACTGTTCCCCTGTGTTGCCGATGAGAGCACAGAACATCCAGACTCTGAGAGATGAGATAACTTGAGGTAACTTACCAGGGTGGCAGCACGGAACAGACAGGCCGGAACTTGAACCCAGACCTTGTGGCCTCCAGTTTGGCATGTAGTTTTCCTCACACCGCCTCCTGTGTCAGCGGGCACGTTCTTATGGGGCTTGCTCTGCTGCCTGCCTCCCTCCATCCTTCCCCAGGCCCAGGCCCTGGCCCTGGCCGTGCTCCTGGGTCCGCCCGCCATATTCCTTTCTTGGATGGATGTGGGAACATGGCTGTGCTTCTCCAGGAGTCCTCCAGGGGCTGCTGCAGCCCTGCTTTCCCGGCCTCTTTAACTGGCACTGGTGCCTGCTGTGGGCGGGCCCATGCAGGTGGCTCCTTCTCCTTTGCTGCCATATTCTGAGGACCTCAGGGCAGGGCCAAGGTCACAGGGAAACCCCATCCCCTGAATGGTTCTGGGTGGGACCTATCCAGCTCTGAGAGGCCACCATGCCTGTGAGGGAGGCCAGAAAAAGGCCGCCCCAGGCACAGCGCACATTGACAGGAAACCTGAACTGAGGCTACACTGGCCACGGGGAGTCTTGGGGAAATGAGAAGAAGGATGAGAGCAAGATGAAGTCTGGAGAAGTGCCCACCCCGGAACACTAACACACACACACACACACTCACACACTTATGAGCTGAATTGTGTCACTTCCATTATATGTTGAATCCACAGTATCTCTGAATGTAACTATATTTGGAGATAGGGTCTTTAAAAAGGTAATTAAAATGAAGTCTTAATGCTGGGCCCTAAACCAGCGGGACTGGTGTCCCTTATTTTATAAGAGGAAATGAGGACATAGACATGTGGCACAGAGGGAAGACTGCGTGAAGTCAGAGGAAGAAGGCGGCCGTCGGCAAGCCAAGGAGAGAGGCCCCAGAATTAAAGCCACCCTGAGGACACCTCGATCTTAGACTTCCATCCTCTAGAGCTGGGAGGAAATAAATTTCTGTTGTTTAAGTCTCACCCGGTCCTGAGCAGATTAATACACAAACACACCCCACTTAATGGAAAAAGCAAGGATCTTAGTACCAGATGAAGTGAGCATCAGGGTGGAGTCTTTTCTGAGCCACCCACCTACTGGTAGTGATCACAACTAAGCCTTTTAATCTGTGTGAGCCGTGGTTTCCTCATCTGCATCTAACAATACAGATGATCCCTGACTTAAGACTTTGCAGCTTTAGGATGGTGATGGTGTGAAAGCAACACGCATCCAGTAGACTGAGTTCATATGCATTCAGTAGACTTCAGATTTTGATTTTTCCCCAGGCTAACGATAGTCTGTTGTAATGCAGGGCAGCAGCAGTGAGCCCAGCTCCCAGTCAGCCCTGCGATCACGAGGATACATAGCCCATATTCCACCGTGTGCTGTGTTGACAGATGACTTTGCCCAACTGTAGGCTAATGTCAGTGTTCTGAGCACATTTAGGATAGGCTAGGCCAAATGATGATGTTTCTGTAGGTTGAGGGTATTAAATGCATTTTCAACTTAGGATATTTTCAACTTACGAAGGGTTTATTGGGATGTAACTATTGTAAGTTGAGGAACATCTGTACTTACTTTGCTGGTTTGCTTTGAGGATTACGTGAGATGAGATAATGTATTTCCAAGTGCTAGGTAAACTCTCAAATGCCATACAAATGGTTCTTACTATTAACACAATTATAGTCTGCACTGAACAATTTAGTACTTTTAAGCTATCTTGTATTTTTCACTAATTGCTTTGTGAATTAGTCTTATCTTGCCTGTGATATTGCCTCTTCCTTAAGGATAAAGTTCTGTGGCCCCCCCACGGTGCTGATGCAGCTTTGGGCACAGGGTTAGAGGTTGACCTGGCCCAGCCAATATGCCCTGCAATAGGATCTGTTAGGGTCACTGGGGTCCATGTGCCACCGATTAGTCAGTAGTGGTTCTGCTAGCCAGTTAACAAACTATGTTAATTTGCAATGATGATGAGGATAGTACAGTTCCTCTCTTGAGCACCAATGATGTGCTGAGACCTTTATAAAACACTTTCCAGACATTGATTCCCTTAGTCCTCATGAGGAGTTTAGGAAGAAGTAGAGATGAGGGAATGCAGCTCAGGGAGGTTAGGTAACTTGTCCAAGGCCACACAGCCAGTGTGTGGTGGAGGAGGGATGTGTAGGCTGGGTATAGGATCTGTGAGCCTAACCACTGGGATAGACCACCATAGCAGGAGGAGTGCTTTGGGCCCAGGGCCTCCAAGTTCTCATCAAATCAGTATGTGGTGGTCTGAAGGCTAGATGGGGAGGTAGAGGGTAGAGGAGAGGATCCATCATTAGGAGAAGGGCCAGATGTTCTGGGGAGGGGGCATGGAGCCAGGAGCTTTGGGAAGAACTTCCCTCTGACTTTGGGCTGCGTGTGGAGCTGGGCTCCTTGCTGTGAGGATGGCCAGGATCAGGTGTCTGCTCAGAGGAGGGTGGTGGTGTAGGAAGAAAGTGAGAGTGGTTCTAGGGATTTCCAGCTGCTGGCAGGGAGGCCCAGCCGGGTGAGCCCTGCTGGAAGAGTAGGGGAGATAGATGAGGCCTGGGAGCTTTTGCTGAGTTTTCCCAGCTATGTCCCCAGAGAAACGGGGTGAGCAACACAAGAAGGGCAGGGCCATCAGCCTCCTGGAAAGAGGACAGGGTCAGCTTCTGTGTTGGGAGCTTGCTGCCTTTGCCCAAAAGAGTCTTCCTTCTCAGATCTGCTCTTTCAGACCCCACCCATCAGTCCTCCACTCCACAGCCGAGGAGCCTCCCGGGGGCCAGCAGCTGGGCAGATGCTGAGGCCTACCATGTGCTGGGCAGGGCTGGTTACCAAGGGAGAGGTAAAAATTAAGATGTGGCTGGGGTTGATGGAGTTCCATGGCCTTGCCCAGGAGCTGCCCCATGGTTTGAGCAATGTGCTGTCCCATGCAGGCATCCAGGCGCCTCTTACCCTTCCACCCCTGCACTGACCTTGGTGTTGTGGAGGTTGGTTTAGGGGTCTGCTTCCCCACTACCTACCCATTCCTCAAAGGCCGCTGCCATAAACCCAGGCTCTAGCCCCACACCTAGCCTTCACTGCAAATGCTCAACTGGAGAAGAACCAGTAGGAGGAGCTGCAGGCCCAGAAAGATGCCTGGGTCGGGGGCTGGGGGTGTGTGGAGAAGAACGGTCTGGGTCTTGAAGGGCTGCGAGTGCCCAGGGAGCCTTCTAGAGTCAGGACTATTTTCTTCTCCTCAGTGGTGTGGTCATTACAAAGATTTATCGTAAACCAACACCCTGGAGAAGGCACAGGGCCTCCTGTTGCAGGCAGAGGTGTCTTTGTGGCTGGGGAAGGGACTTCCTTCCTCCTGAATGGATGCTCGGGAGCTAAGTAAACCAAGGCCGAGAAGCCCTGTAATAGACACAGTTGAGAATGGAGGCAGGGCTTGGACCGTTCAGGCCAGGGTGAAACTGCGGGAACCTCTCCTTGGTTTGGCCACCAGGGAGCCCATGGGGGTGACCCTCTTGCCCTTTCCCCTTCATCTCATCCCTGGCTTGGATCATTGTTTGCCTCCCGTCGTGCCTTATCCAAGGCTTCCTCCAAACAGGGCAGTGCTTGCTTGTAAAATTGGCTCAATTCAGGCCATGAGGGATTAGGTGGGTTGAGGTGAGCTCTGTGCAACGGTCCTGCAATTAAAGGTCACTGCCACCTGCCCAAAGGGCCAAACACACCCTCCAAATTTTCCAAGCCCAAGATAAACCTAGCAATGATTTGTGTAGCCAGAAGAGGGCAGCAGAGTACACCCAAGGCGCTTCCTTCAA